AAACATGTAGTTTAAGATTGAAAAATGTTCTAAACTATATAAACATATTACATATGTTTTATAAAATACAGTATTCATGAATAGATATTATATAAACTGTGTATAAGTACTAAAACATGTTTATAACCCTCTCCATAATTAAAAACAGATAGTATACATTCTGTAAAGTACATGGAGTGTATTTACAAAAGGACACCTTGTATGAAGACATAAAAGAAGTGTGAAGAAATTTCAGAGAATCAATATGACACAGAGTATATTCTCCAAACCTAATGCAATGACATTAGGAATGCATAAGAGGGCTGGGAGTGTTGGCTCACGCCTGTAATCCAAGCACTTTGGAGGCCAAGGCGGGTGGATCACCTGAGGTCGGGAGCTCAAGATCAGCCTGACCAATATGGTGAAAACCCATCTTATAAAAAAAAAAAATTAAAAAAAAAAAGGAATGCATAAGAGGAGTAAAGATAAAATAGTACTTTTCAAACTAATTATTAATATATTCATATGTGAATTATTAAGTATGTAATAAAATATATTTTGATATATGACCACTACATATCAAAAAGTATGGGGCATAGTTAATATTGGAGAGCAATTAGTAGCTTTGAATACATTTGTTGGAAAACGTGAAAGTTTTCCAATTAATGAGCTAAGGAAGCATCTTAAGAAGATGGAACATGAGTGGCAGAGCAAGCCCAAAGAATCATAAAGGAGGGAAAGAATCATGGTAACAGCCAAAATAAATTAAATAGTTGGAAATGAAGATCAAAGAAAGTCATAATTCATTCTTTGAAAGTTTAAAAAGATAGCCATATTGTTGTCAAGACAAATGAAGAGAAAAGGACATGATAATAACAAATTGAAGAAAAAAGAATATAACCATGCATTCATTCTATAGAGATTTTAAAATAAATAAATTAGTGTTACATGTAAATTTTACGTGCCATGAAAGAAGTAGCACTCAAATATAAATTCTGTCAGCAAGGCAATTTACTGCTATAGAAAGGTGCATCTCCTAGATGGAGCAATGGCCAGCACACACCTGGACAAGGGAGGTGAAGGGGTTCTTATACTTGATGCAGGTAGCCCCTACTGCTGCTTTGTTCCCCAATTGGCCAGGGTTAGACCACACAGTCTAAGGTAATTCCGATCGGGTATTTTAACAAGAGCAGGAGTATGAGCCAGAATGGCAGGGTGAGTGAGTGGCGGGAAAACTGGTTATGGAACAGGTAACTAAAGGTGACTCAGGTCAGAGCAGGTGAGCAGGGGTGACTCAGGTCAAAGCAGGTGACCGACATGAGTCAGGACGGAGCAAGTGACCTGGATGAGTCAGGATGGAGCAGGGGATTAGGGGAACAGATGTAAACTACTGATTAGAACTGGTGAAAATGGTTGTTTACTGAAAGCACGAGGAAGTTAAACTTTAAAATGAAGGACAAAGAACTGAACATACTGACATACTGATTCTTTGAAAAGAAATTTAGAACTCGTTGTATCCAACATTCTGAACAAAATCTTGCTGTTTTAAATCTTAGAAATGCACAAATTTCTAAAAACATGAACTGCGAAGACTAACACAAAAAGAAACAGGTTTCAGTAGGTTAATAAATAAGAAAACTGAAATTTCTGAAATTTCAGAAAACTGAAATCATCCTCACAGAAAATTCAAGACTCACATGGTTTCACAGGTAACACAATCTTTTAAGAAACATTTGATTGATATTTCATACAAGATGTTGCAGAAAATAGAAGAGAAGCAGAAACAGCCCAGGTCATTTGAAGGGGCTAGTGTCATCAAAGTCTCAAAACCAGTTAAGGGGGATACAAGAAAACTAAATTATAGGTCCATTTCTCTGAGGCACATGGAGTCAATTCACAAATTATCATTAGCCAACTGAATTCAACAGTGTATCAAAAAGAAGACTGTATTATGAATGAGTAGGGTTTTCTCACAAAACAGAAAGGATTCTTCAACTTCAGAAAATCTAATCTTAGATTAGGTTACTTACTAATGTAAGTGATCTCGGATTACATCATTTATTAATATAAATAAACTAAATTCATAAACTACAGGAAAAAAGTCAACTGATGCACAAAATGCATTTGGGAACCTTCAGCACATTATGTCATATGAAAAAGCTCTTATAAAATAGAAATAAGAACAGATAACTTGGTAAAGGTTGTACACCAATGATCACAATAAACATTATTTAGTAGAGAAAGCATAAACTCAAATTAAGGATTTCCACAGCTACCATTAATGTCTTCTATAATATTAGAGGTTCTGATAAATGCTTGAAGGAAAGGAAAGCAGGTTATAGGAAAGAAGATGAGACAAGAAGAGGGAAAACCTGTCGTGACTGGCAGATGACGGGATCATCTACCCAGAAAAAGAAGGAGAAACAACAAACTATTAGATTTCACAAGAGAGTTTAGCAAGGCTTCCAGTTACAAAAGCAACAAATATACATCACAAGGAGACCTCTATAAGGAATAATCATTTAGAAAAATAAGGTAGTTTTCATTACAGTGACAAAATCATTAAGTTCCTAGAAAGAATTAATTTAAGCAAGACCTATTTGGAGAAAAGTATAAAATGCTAAAAAATGACAGGTGATCTGAATAAATAGAAATAATACATGACTTTGGAAGAGGCAATATCATTGTAGAGATGTCAATTTTCCCCAAATTAAAGTCACTCAAAGTAATCCCAAACACAACTTGTTTACATTTGCAAAGAACTTGAAAAACTTACTCTAAAATTATACAAAATAAAAAAGGAGATACATAACTGGCTAAGTCAATCATAAAAACGTGAATATAAAAAGAGCTCACTGGCCTTACCATGTAATAATACTGAAGCAGGAAGCTGTTAAGGCCACAAGAGAAAAGCAGATTTGCTGGGACAGGGAAGTCCCAGAATCAGAGCTAGTTAGGCCAGGAGTAGGGGCCACACAGAGGGTACCTGGGAGGATCCCTGGGATCAGCAGACAGGGGTTCTAGGTCTATGCTCTGTCACTGCTTGTAAGGGTCTGGTCAGGTCCTGTGCAATCTCTGGGCCTCATTCCTTCAGGTGTGATATCTGGCTGGTCTTGACGATGCACTTGGCTCTGATTCCTAAGAGACTCCTGATGGTCCTGTCCTACCTGACCTGATTAGGGAGAGTTCCCGCTCCCCCGGCTCTATCCCTCCTCTTCCCTAAACTCCAATCCCTTGTTCTTCCCCTGGCCAGCATTTTCCTCCATTCAAGACTTTGAGGTTCCTTCTGACCAGGTCTCCTCTCAGTCCCAGAGACCTCTGCGACCCCTGCCCCACACTCCTGTGTCATAGTCAATTCAGGGTGGGCCCTTATACAAACAGCTCCAGCCACAAGGAGCCTGATTTAGGGACACTGCAGGAGCAGGTGACATCCTGGCCCAAGTCCATCCTCTTTTCTCCCTCCCTGCTGCAGGAAATCAAGGGCTCCCCTCTGCCTTGGCTCAGCTGGCCCCAGACTCCTGATCTTTGTGCTGTGTGGACTCCTCCTGGCCAAGGGGCTGAT